CTCTGCTGTAGGTCTCCTGAGGTCCACTCTAGGCCCTGCTTGCCTGGGGATCACCTGCAGCAGCTGCTGAACAGCAAGGGTTGTTAACAGTTTTCTTCTTCTGCTATCTTTGTCCCAGAAGGATACCCGCCAAATGTCAGTCTGATCTCTCCTTTGTGAGGTGGCTCTTTGGATATACAGGGGTCAGGGAGCACTTGAGGAGATGGTCCCTTCTTTATAGGAGCTCAAATGCTGAGCTGTGAGCTCCATTGTTCATTCAGAGCTGCTGGGCAGGTACGTTTAGGTCTGTTGCAGCATATCTCATAAACCTCTTTTTGTTCCCAGGTGCTCTGTCCCAGGGATTTAGGGCTTTATGAGTTTCCATTATGCTGCTGCCTTTTTTTTTCCTTTAGAGCTGCCAGCCCAGCAAGGAGGCAGCCTAGTCACTGTCTGCTTGTAGAGGCTTTGCTGAGCTGCTGTGGGCTCCGCCCAGCTGCCGAGTGAACTTCCCTGCAGTCCTCTTTATATGGGTGTAGTTAGAACTGCCTCGGCAATGATGGGCCACCTCTGTTAAGGCGGAGTCTCTCTGCAGTGGCGGGTTGCCTTGGCTATGGTGGGCTGCCTCAGTATTGGCTGACTACCTCCGTAGTTGTGGGCTGCCTCAGTAATTGCGGACACCCCTCCCCCACAAAACTGGACCATGCTGGGTTCAGCTGTGCTTGCTGTGAAACTCTCAATCCAGAGAGTTTCTGATTGCTGTTCTTTTGTGGGGGTGGCACCAGCCACGCCTCTTTGCCTGGCTCCCTGCCTCAGGGCCTTTTTGTTTGTGTGTTTTTTTAAGTTGGTGCTCCAGTCGCCTGTTGGCGAGCCCCCAGGGTCTGTGTGTTTTCCCCTGCGGCAACTCGCTGTGCTGTCTTAAACAGCGGCACTAAGATTCGTGGCGCTTTTTTTGCCCTGGAATCTACTGTCCTGGTTCTCTGCTCAGTTCCCTTTTTAAACAGACAAATGGCCGATTTCCAGTGGCTCCAATTGCCAGCCAAAAGGGCACCCGGACCGGTGTATTTTGTATGGAGAACCACTGCTCCGGGGCGCCAACAAAGCAGCCGCGCGGGGTAAAGCAGCAGCGCTGGTCGGCACAGCCGCACTGGGCCGAAACAGCCGCACTGGCGACCCGTGGAGCTTCTCTGCCTGGGAATTTCCTAGTCTGTGGGCAATAAAAATGTGTCGTCCACTCACCCTTTGCACTTTCACTGGGAGCTTCAATCCTGAGCTCTTCCTAAACGGCCTTCTTGGATCGATCCTCCTGCTTCAATATCTTAAAAATTATTATCTTGTCAAATCTTTTTTCAAGGTTCTTAGTTTCTTTGCATTGGTTAGAACATGTTCTTTTAGCTCACAGAAGTTTCTTATTACCCACTTTCTGAAGCCTGATTTTGTCACTTCATCACACTAATTCTCCATCCAGCCTTGTTTCCTTGCTGGTGAGGAGTTGTGACACCTTGTAGGAGGAGAGGCATTCTGATTTCAGGTGTTTTCATCCTTTTTTCTCTGGTTTCTTCCCATCTTTGTGTTTTTATCCACCTGTTGTCTTTGAAGTTGTTGACTTTCAGATTGGGTCTCTGAGTGGACGTCCAGTTTGTTGATGATGAAGTTATATCTTTCTATTTCTTAGTTTTCCTACTGACTGGCCCCTCTGCTGTAGGAGTACTGAGGTCCACTCCACACCCTATTTGTCTGGGGATCACCTGCAGCGGCTGCAGAACAGTAAAGGTTGCTGACAGTTTCTTCTTCTGCTATCTTTGTCCCAGAAGGATACCTGCCAGATGTCAGTCTCAGCTCTCTTTTATGAGGTGACTCTTTAGATATACAGGGGTCAGAGACCTTCTTGAGGAGACAGTCTGTCCTTTATAGGAGCTCAAGTGCTCTGCTGTGAGCTCCGTTGTTCATTCAGAGCTGCTGGGCAAGTACGTTTAAGTCTGCTGCAGCAGAACTCATAACCCCACCCCCCCCTTTTGTTTTTTTCCCAGGTGCTCTGTCCCGCAGTGTTAGTGCTTTATTTATGAGTTTCTGTTGTGCTACTGGCTTTTTTCAGGGCTCCCCTTCCCAGCGAGGAGGCAGCCTAGTCACTGTCTGCCTGTAGAGGCTTTGGTGAACTGCTGTGGACTACACCCAGCTGCCGTGTGAACTTCCCTGCAGTCCTGTTTATACGGGTGTAGTTAGAACTGCCTCAACAATGGTGGCCCACCTGTATAATGGCGGACTCTCTCTATAATGGCAGGCTTCCTCAGCAATGGCAAACTACCTCCATAGTGGTGGATTGCCTCGGTAATCCTGGGCGCCCCTCCCCCCCAGAGCTGGACCATCCCGGGTTCAGCTGTGCTTGCTGTGAAACTCTCAATCCAGAGTGTTTCAATTGCTGTTTTTTTGTGGGGATGGGACCAGCCAAGCCTGATCACCTGGCTCCCTGTCTCAGAGTGCCCCCCCCTTTTTTTTTTCTTAGTTGAACGGTTGACTCTGTCTCCCAGGTGTTCCAGTCACCTGTTGAAAAGGTGCCAGTATATGTGTGATTTCCCATGGGGCGACCCACTGCACTGGCTGAAACAGCTGTGCTGAGATTCGTTTCGTGGCGCTTTTTTGTCCGGGAATCTCCTGGCCTGGCTCCCTGTTTCAGTTCCCTTTTTAATCATATGAATGGGCTACTCTGCCTTCCCGGAGCTCCAATTGCCATCTAAAACGGTGCCCGGACTCGTGTATTTTGTACGGAGAACCGCTGCACCGGGGCGCCAGCACAACATCCGCGCTGACCAAACCAGCCGTGCTGGCGACCTGTGGGGCTCCTTCACCTCTGAAACTCTTGGTCTGTGGGCAATAAAAATCCATCTGGAAATGTGGCCGTCCACTCACCCTGTGCGCTTTCACTGGCAGCTACAATCCTTAGCTGCTCCTAATTGGCCATCTTGGATCTCTCCCTGTTTGAATTTTTGTGAGAATGAATAATGTTTTTCTAAAGACAAAGTCATTAATTTTTTAAAGGAAGTTATCTGACTAGATGATCTCTAAGAACTGTATTTTACTGATAATACCCTCCCTCCAGACATTTACCAATTATTTTGAGGCTCACTTCTGATAAACTTGAGTATCTGGTTTTCCTACTCTTAGCATTTTAATGGTAGCATTTTGCAAATAGAGTCAAGTTTTAAAGGGAAGTATACAGATAGCCTGACCATAGGGAGGAAAAAAACTCTACCTACTTTATAAAACAGGTTCAACTTTTTTTTTCTTGAAATAGTCTTGCTCTGTCGCCCAGGCTAGAGTGCAGTGGCGCTATATCGGCTCACTGCAATCTCTGCCTCCCAGGTTCAAGCGGTTCTCCTGCCTCAGCCTCCTGTGTAGCTGGGATTATAGGCGCCTGTCACCACACCTGGCTAATTTTTTAATTTTTAGCAGAGATGGTGTTTCACTGTGTTGGCCAGGCTGGTCTCGAACTCCTGACCTGTGATCCACCCACCTTAGCCTCCCAAAGTGCTGGGATTACAAGTGTGAGCCACTACGCCCAGCCTCAAATTTTTTTAATACAGCAATCTGTGCTGTATGAAACTCCCAAAGGTATCGCTGTGATATATTAATAGTACAATAAAATAAAAAAATTGTTAATGTTGACTTTGAGTGGCCAAGAAAAAGTTAAATTGTACTTACAAAAACTAGGAAGTTTGTTTACTTTTTTTTTTTTGAGAAGGAGTTTCGCTCTTGTTACCTAGGCTGGAGTGCAATGGTGCGATCTCAGCTCACCGCAATCTCCGCCTCCTGGGTTCAGGCAATTCTCCTTCCTCAGCCTCCTGAGTAGCTGGGATTACAGGCATATGCCACCATGCCCGGCTGAATTTTTGTATTTTTAGTAGAGACGGGGTTTCACCATGTTGACCAGGATGGTCTCGATCTCTTGACCTCGTGATCCACCTGCCTCGGCCTCCCAAAGTGCTGGGATTACAGGCGTGAGCCACCGCGCCCGACGGAAGTTTGTTTACTTTTTAGAAAATTTAAGAACTTTAATGAAAAGATTGACTTTTTAAATTCAAAAGTGATTTTTATTTGAAGAAAGTAAACTGCCAGTTAACCAGAAAACTTTATTATGCAGAATAACTCATTTTCCTAAAATTCGACTAAGACTAAGTTTTATTGTGAAACTAATTTACACTTACTCTCAAAGTATTATAATATTTTAAGTAGATACATTTAGTAGCTGTTTACTCTCATGTGAGTATTTTTACGTAAAAAGCTGTGGAACAAACTGCATTTGCTGACTGGGCTAGAGGGTCAGAGACTCTTAATATCCTATTCAAGAGTTTTGTGGAAATTGATAGTTTATGCCAAAGGGCAGAAGAGGAGGTACAGAATTCTATTATAGTTTAGACTTTACCTTAATGTGGTTATGTATTTGAACTCTGTAAACGTCTAGACCAGAAACAATCAACACAAGTTAGGATTTAAAGTAATAAAGTTTGTGTGTAAGCACGGTCTTAAAGTGTTTTACAAAGCTTTAAGGCATAATTGGCCTTTCTTGTGAACTTGATCTGATCTGTTTAGTACATAATAGTATAAACACTTCTTATTAATGATTTCTGGCATTGCTGTCTGCTCATTCACAATAACCTTATTAAGGCACCAGTTGATGATCTAATTTCGAATGTGGAAAATAAGTTAAAAAGAGACTAGGCTGGAAAACTATCATAGACTGATGGGAGAATTACTGTGATTCTGGCAAACTCTGATTGCATTATATTATCAATTATGGTAGTAAACCTAAAATTGATGATGAAAACTTGTCTGAATTTTTTTTTTGTAGCCATTACTTACAGATTATAGGTTCCGGGTATAGTTAGCACTCTTTACTTAATGTAATAGATCTAGATTCTTGTTTTCAGAGCTTGTTTTTTTCTTTTTCAGCTCACCAAACAGGAAGACAACTGACAGCAGAATTAATGATCTGGCTACACAACATTCTGTGGAGAAAAGCTGCCAGTAGTTTTGAGGTTTGGGAATAATCTCTTTTTCATTCTTTACCTTATTTCTCCACTGCAACAAAAAATAGTGCATTCACCATAAAAATAAAAGAGCATCAAATACTGTAATAATCTCTGTCTATTTAGATACCATATATTTATTAAATATTCACAATGTAGAGTGTTAATGATCTTTGTACAAGAGTTTATTTAAAAATAATAAGACATGATTCCTCTCCATTGAGAGCTTACAGTGTAAGGAAATGTCATCGCTGATATTAAGGTATAGGAATGTAATTTTTTTAAACATGAGGGTTGAGAAAGAGTTTTATTCCCTTGTAAAAGTTATGGTGTAATAAAGAAATGGAAAATTATTTACAAGACACTTCAGGTTTCCTATAAAGATAGGTTTTTTTTTTTAAAGCAAAGAACAATCATTTATAATTTTGGTATATTTCCTTCTAATCTTTGTGTATTATACATTTGTGTGCCTTTGTATATAAAGCAAATGGGATGTACCATTTAAAAAAAAGTTGTGGTATGCTTTCATTTGCAATTAATATGTAGTCACAGAGACTGTTTTATGTCCCTGCTTCAACAATAAGTCCCTCTCCACAGAAGACAAGACAAAATACATGAAAAGAGAAAAAATGGCTTTTATGACAGTGAACATCAGGCAATGAAGGAGAATGATTTCTGGGAGATAAGAAATAAAGTGAGCATTGGCTGGGTGCTGTGGCTCATGACTGTAATCCCAACACTTTGGGAGGCTGAGGCGGATGGATCATGAGGTCTGGAGATTGAGACCAGCCTGGCCAAGATGGTGAAACCCCATCTCTGCTAAAATAGAAAAAATTATCTGGGCATGGTGGCACGTACCTGTAGCCCCAGCTACGCAAGAGGCTAAGGCAGGGAAATCACTTGAAACCGGGAGTTGGAGGTTGCAGTGAGCCAAGATCGCGCCACTGCACTCCAGCCCTGTGACAGAGCAAGACTCCAGAAAGAAAGAAAGAGAGACAGAGAGAGAGAGAAAAGAAAGAAAGAAAAAGAAAGAAAGAAAGCAAAACAAAACAGAACAGAAGAATTAAAGTGAGGTTTACAATTGTGCAGCTTACTGCTTTGAATTTCCAGCATATAGCACAAGAAGAGGAGCTGAAGTAGAGCCTGGCAAGCATCCTGATTTGAGATGCAACTGAGTCTGAGGAGACCAAGGCAGCCAGAATTTATAAGACAAGTACTGGGGAGGACCATATAGCATAGATTAGGCATTGTAGAAGAAAAGATTGATAAACTTTAAGTCAGAGCAAAGAAGCTATTGAAAATTAAACACACAGAAAAAAAACTTAAAAATTAAAAGAGCTTCAGTTAGATAAGGGACAACCCAGTGATCAGGGGGTCTTCTTCCAGTGTTTAGTAGAGTACTGATGAGGACATACATGAAGCAAAATTACCTGATGCTAGGAGAATAGCCGTCTATAAATATTAGAGGGAACAGTGTCTGGCATTCACATGGGGCTGAGAATAAGGCCTGCTCTTATCACCCATTGTGGAAAACCTCTAATTTATGAGGCATTGGGTAGAAAACTGAAAAGGGTCTTATCTCAGAAGAGGGGAATGATTAGTCGTACACTAAGTCCTGCTCCAGAACTACCTAAAAAATTATAAAAGTATGATGTGAAAGGATCAAATTGATCTCAAGGAACTTAATTGCTTCCCAGAGCAGAGTTCAAGAATATTTATAGGAATATAAAACTGTACAGCACCCAACAGGATAAAGTTTACAATGTCTGGCATCCAACAAAAAAATTACTGAGCTTGCAAAGAGGCACGAAAACACAACCTATAATGAGAATAAGCAATCAATTGATACTGATCCAGAAGTGACACAGAAGTTAGCATTAGCAGAGGACATCTCTTATAATTGTATTTCATGCATTCAAAAACTTCCTTAAAAGCATCGAAGATATATAAAGACCCAAATCAAACTTCTAAAGATGAAAGCTATGTTTAGGACGAAAAGTACATTGGATAGTATTAACATCATATTAGACATTGTAGAAGAAATGACTTACGAAGTTATAGCAAAGAAGCTATTCAAAATGAAATACACAGGGGAAAAACCTTTAAAAAATTAAAAGGGTTCAGTTAGGTGAGGGATAATTTTAGGTAGCTTAATATACAGGTAACTGGGACTCCCAAATGAGCATGAAGATAATAAGTATTTGAAAAAATAAAACTTTCAAAACTTAATGAAAACTCTAAATGCACGGATAGAAAAATCTTAACAAACCTCAAACACAAGAAACACAAAATGACACCAACACACATAATCAAAGTGCTCATGGTAACTCATGTAAGAGAATGTCCTAAAATCAGACAGATCAAAATGACACCCTACATACAGAGGAATAAACTAAAGAGAACATCAGATTTCTTGTTGGAAGCAATGCAAGTAAGAACTCAGTGCAACAACATCTTTAAAATAATGAAAGAAAACAAAAACTTGTCAGCCTAAAATTCTGTATCCAGCACAAATATTGATTAAAATGAAAGTAGTTGGTAGAAATGTAAAGTAGTGTAGCCACTACGGAAAACAGCATGGCAGTTCCTCAAACAATTAAAAATATTATTGTGATATGCTGCAGCATTTCACTTTTGCTTATATATCCATAAGAATTAAAAGCAAGATATTTGCACACCCATGTTTCTAGCAGCCAAAGGGTGGAAGCAACCCAAGTTCCATCAACAAATGAATGGATAAATAAAATGTGGTATATTCAAACAATGGAATATTACTTAGCCTTAAAAAGCAAGGACTTCTGATACATGCTATAACATGGATGAGCCTTGAGGATATTATGCTAAGTGAAATAAGGGTGTCACAAGAAACAATACTGTATGATTCCCCTTACATGAGGTACCTAGAGTAGTCAAATCCCTGGAGAAAGGAAATAGAATGGGCCGTATGTGGTGGCTGACTCCTGTAATCCCAGCATTTTCGGAGGCCAAGGTGGATGAATCACCAGAGGTCTGGAGTTCGATACCAGCCTGGCCAACACGGTGAAACCCCATCGCTAGTAAAAATAACAAAAATTAGCCAGGTGTGGTGGTGCACTCAGCTACTCAGGAGACTGAGGCAGGAGAATCACTTGAACCCAGGAAGCAGAGGTTGCAATGAGCCAAGATTTTGCCACTGCACTTTCGCCTGGACAATGGAGAGAGAGAGAGACTCATGTCTTTAAAAAAAAGAATAAAGAAAGAAAGAAAGTAGAATGGTGATTTCCAGGGGCTGGGAGGAGGAGAAAACGTGGAGTTGTTTAGTGAATATAGAGTTTCAGTTTTACTAGACAAAAAAGTTCTGGAGATTAGTTGCAGATTGGCCAATTTTATGTTATTTTTTTTAACCATAATAAAAATACATTTTTTTAAAAAATGAAAGCAAATTACTCTTCCAGACATTTAAAAGCTGATATAACTAATCACTTAAAGGTCTACATTACATGGAAGTCCTCTGAACAGAAGGAAATTTATACCAGTTGGAAATATCAATCTATACAAAAGAATAAAAAATACCAGAAATGGTAATTATATGAGCAATAGATAAGATTTTTTCATATTATTACAATCTATTTAAAAGATAATTTACTGGTTAGACAAAAGTAATAACATTGTATTCTGTAGAAGTAAAATGCATGACAAGAATGTATAGGTCAAGAAGAGAGAAATGGAAGTATACCATAAGTGAGGTGGTATAACATCACTTGAAGATAGACTATGATAAGTTAAACATATATACTATATACCCTAAAACAATCATTAAAGTAGCAAAACAAAAAGTTTTTTTTTTCAAAAAATGAGATAAAATCAAACCATAAAAATATTAAAATAATTTAAAATAAGGCAGGAAAAGAGGAAAGAGGGATCAAAAAAGATGGCACAAATAGAAAACAAATAGCAAGATGATAGACTTACATCTAAGCATGTGAAAAAAATCATATTAAGTGAAAATGACCTCAAGACCGCAGTGAAAAGGCAGAGATTGTCAAACTGCATAAAAAAGCAAGACTCAAGTTTATATACTGCTTAAAAGAAATGTACTTTAAATATAAAGATACAAATTGGTTATTAGCAAAAGCATCAGAAAAATATAGAGAAACAAGATTATTCTAAAATTTATATATAAAACAATGGAATGAAAATAGCCAAGACATATTATTAGAAAGTCAAAAAATAATAGATGCTGGCAAGGTTGTAGAGAAAAGGGAACACTTATACACTGTTGGTGGGAGTGCAAATTAGCTCAACCACTGTGGAAAGCAGGATGGCTATTTCTCAAAGAACTAAAAATAGAACTACCATTCAACCCAGCAATTGCATTACTGGATACATACCCAGAGAAAAATAAAGCCTTCTGTCATAAAGACACATGCACACAAATGTTCATTGCAGGACTATTCATGATAGCAAAGACATGGACTCAACCTAAACATCCATCAATGACAGACTGAATAAAGAAAATGTGGTACATATATACCCCATAGAATATTATGCAGCCATAAAAAAGAAAAGATGTCTTTTGCAGGAACATGGATGAAGGCAGAAGCTATCATTCTGAGGGAACACAGGATCAAAAAGCCAAATAATATATGTTTTCACTTATAAGTGGGAGCTAAATGATAAGAACTTATGAACACAAAGAAGGAAACAACAGACATTGGTGTCTACTTGAGTGGGGAGGGTGGAAGGAGGGAGGGAGGCAGAAAAGATAACTATTGGGTACTGGGCTTAATACCTGGGTGATGTAATAATATGTACAACAAACCCCTGTGTAATGGGTTTACCTATGTAACAAACATTCACATGTACCCCTAAACCTAAAATTAAAAGAAAGAAAATAGCCAAAACAGTCCTGAGAGAGAATAGAACAGAAAGAATCACCCTATTCAATTTCAAGACTTTTTATATAGCTGCAGTACTCTAGACTGTGTGGTATCATCAGAGAGATAGAACCATAGATCAATGGAACAGAATGGAGAACCAAAAAATAATTTCACACAAACATACTCAACTGATTTTTGAGAAAGCACAAAAGTAATTCAATGGAAAAAGATGATGTTTTTAACTAATGGTGCTGGAGCATTTGGACATCCATAGTAAAAGAAAAAAAAATTAATCTTGACCTTAACTTCACACTTCATATAAAAATTAATTCAAATGAATTACTAAATTAGATGTAAAATGTGCAACTATAAAACTTTTTAAAATATACATAGGAGAAAATCTTCAGGATCTAGGCCAGGTAAAGAATTATTAGACTTGACTCAAAAACATGATGCAAGTAGGGTGCAATGGCACATACCTATAGTCCCAGCTACTTGGGAGGCTGAGGTAGAAGGATTGCTTGAGCCCAGGAGTTTGAAGCCAGCCTGGACAACATAGCAAGACCTGGTTACTCAAATAAATAAATAAATAAATAAATAAAATTTTAAAATATCATACATAAAAATAAAAATTAATAAACTATTTCATGAAAATTAAAAGCTTTTGTTCTGTGAAAGATCCTATTCAGTCTCAGGTCCTCACCTCCAAAACTGACAAAGAAAGAAGGAACAACAGTTTTGCCAGAAAGGGCCATGGCCATGTGCAGCCTAATCCCTGCATGAATTGTACCTGATACGTGACTAAAGACAGGGCTGTTAAGAAGTTTATCATTCAAAATATAGTAGAAAGCCAAGTGTGGTGGCTCATGCCTGTAATCCCAGTGCTTTCAGAGGCCGAGGCGGCAGGATCGCTCGAGCCTAGGAGTTTGAGACCAACCTGGGCAATATAGGGAGACTACATAAATAAAAAATAAAAATTTAGCCTGGTCTGGTAGCATGCACCTGTAGTCCCAGCTGCTCAGGAGGCTGAGTCAGGAGGATCCCTTGAGCCCAGGAGTATAAGGCTGCGGTGAGTTGTGATCATGCTACTTCACTCCAGCCTGGGTAACAGAGCAAGATCCTGTCCCAAAAACTAAAAGAAAACCACAAAACACAGTAGAGGCCACAGCTATCAGGGACATTTCTGAGGCCAGTGTCTTTGATGTCTATGTGCTTCCCAAGTGTTTGTGAAGCTACATTACTGCATGAGTTTCACCATTCACGGCAAGGTAGAATCAATCTCGTGAAGCCCGTAAGGACCAAACATTCCAACCCTGATTTAGACCTGTGGGTGCTGCCCAATGACCTCCACCAAAGCCTATGTAAGGAGCTGAGTCCTTAAGGACTGAAGAAAAGCTATCCTCTGAAGAAAATAAAGTGTAAATTATACTAAAAAAAAGAGATCTCGTTTAATGGATGAAAAAAGATACAGACTCGGAGAAAAATTTTCAAACCATGTATACAATAATGAACTAGTAGCTAAAACATAAAAAGAACTCTCTAAACTCAACATATAAAGAAAAACAATTCAAAAATTAGCAAACGATGTGAACAGACATTTCACCAGAAAATGGTATATGCATGACAATAAGCACACAAAAAAAGATGACTTACGAGTCATTAGGAAAATGCAAATGAAATCTCCAAGGACATACCAATACACAATTCTTAGAATAGCTGAAATGAAAAAAATTAACCATACCAAATGCTGATGAAGTTGTTGAGGAACTGGAATTTCATGGTGCAAACATAAGATAGTACAAACCGTTTGGAAAATAGTTTGGCAGTTTTCTATAATGTTAAACTTGCCCCCACCATGTGATCCAACCATTTCAATCATATGTATGTACTCAAAAGAAAAGGAATTATTTATCCATAGAAAAACTTGCATGTAAAAGCTAATAGCAGCTTTATTTATAATAGTTAAAAACTGGAAACAACAAAATGTTTATCGACAAGTTAGTGGATAAACAAACTGGTATATTCTTCAATGAAATATTACGTAGCAATAAAAAGGAATGAACTATTGATAGATGCAGTAATGGGGATAAATCTAGAAACGGTTTTGCTGAGTGAAAGGGGCCTGGCAAAAAAGTATTAATACATATTAGATGATTCAAATGTATAAAAGCTTGTAAAATGAAAATTAATAGTTACATGGAGCACATTCATAATTGTTTCAGGGATGAGAGACTGGAATGAGCTGGATTGAGGGATTACAAAGAAAACTTGGTTGTAATGGATGTGTTCACTACCCTGACTGTGTTGATGGTTTTAGCTATGTATATATATGTCAAAACAATTGTACAGTTTAAATATATGTGGCTTTTTGTATGTCAGTTGTACCTCAATAAAACTGTTTTCCAAAAATGTTATCATAGGTTTTGTAGGAGAAAGATGTGAAGAGAAAAAAGGGAACAAAGATTGAGAAACAAAGAATTAGACCCAAGAGAAGGAAGGAGAATCCCTTATAGGAGCATGTAGAGACCTAGGTCTTATGGTTAGGTACTGCAAGATAGAATGATGTTCTTATTCTCCTTTAGAAGGCCTTTATTTTTTTGCTAAATAGGTGAACAACTACTTCAGAATTCCCATTCTTCTATTGATTCTTTTTCTTTCCTCTCATTTTCCAGTCTTGCGAATAATTTTCTCAAAACATCCACTTCCAACACTGGAGAGGAATGTAATCTTATTTCTAATTGATTATTTCTAATATGACATATTTCTAATCTACTATGACTAATGTAATAGTCAAAGGCAGTGTTTTACCTATTCAGCACAGTTGTTTCTACTTGGAGAGGGTGTTTTATTCCTTGAAGGTCCTAATGTCTCCTGTTCTTAATTGAAAAATACGAAGTTTCTTCACAGGGTATGCGGGAGTCATTTAGCTTACCTTGGTTTATAAGCAGTCTCAGTCTTCTTAGATTAGGAAATAATTATCCAACTTATTTCTATCAGATTTTCCCTAGCTAGCTTGTCACCTTTGAAAATTTTAAAGTTGCTCAAGAGAAAATGTATTTTTGTATAAAAATACAGCAGCATCAATTACAATAGTAAAAACCCTGTAAATTCACTAAATATTTCACATTAAGAAAATCATTATATATTTGATTAAGTGTTAGGTATCTCTTAAAATTGATTACTGTGAAGACTACATAGCAACATAGATTAGTATGTACAAAATTAAATGGAAAGAATAGAATATCAAATTTTTTATAAGCTATGATTACAACTAGGTAAATACACAAAAGAATAAAGTTAAAATTGAACATAGATAAATGAAAATAGCTGCATTAGCATGGTGAATTATGGGTGTTCTCTTTTAAATTTTTTATCATTGTTGTTTTAATAACTTTTAAAATAGATGTTAAGTTTTCTGGGGTGGTTCACTACAGTCTTAGACTCTTCATCCTATGTGAAATTTCTAATGTGTAGAAAAAAGAAAGAATATTGATTGCAGTTTTATCTAAAGCTTATATTGACTAAGACTGATAATAAAATGCACTTAGAACTCAATATAAAGGATATTGTGTTTTGGTTGCCTTAAAAAGACACCAATAACATCTTTTATTTGTTTCTAGAGGTGACTTGGGAAAGGTAGGGTAGAGACATCACTGTGATTTTGTTGTTTCTTTTTAAACTTTAGGTACAAAATTACGCTGATGCCCTACACTGGTACTATTATTCTCTGAAGTTTTATTCACCTAGTGAAATGGATGTGGACTTCGCCAAGCTGCAGAGGAACATGGCTTGCTGTTACCTGAATTTGCAACAACTTGATAAGGTCCTTTGATTTATCTATTTTCAGAGGTAGCAAATGTTCTTATGTGCAGTTACAGAGGGATAGATGTCATGCTGTGTCTTCTTGGCTGTTAGTTTAGGATGTCTGAGAGTTCCTTCATATAGAACAAGCTCAAATTGACATTTTCTTGATTTCCACGCTGTAAACATTGAGTGAAAATTCCCAAAGAAAGGGAGAATTTGGAATACCATTAAGTCTATTACTTACCCCTTATTTTTCACACTCTATTCTGAAAGGTAATGTATCATTTGAACTCCTGAACAAAGTTATCTGAAACTAACCATTTGTAATATTGTTCTTTCCAGCAAACTAAATTTTAAAGTATACATTTTTGTCAGGCATTCATTGAAAGCAAATACTTGGATGACGTGGCCATTCTTTCACTTTCTGGGTTGTTATTTCTTGCCTTTCCAACCACCCTAGAAAATGTTCTTTAACTGATTTCTTATCAGGACAAAATTCTAGAAGGTAAAGAAGATAAAAGCTTGTTTAAAGATAGAACGTAAATACTTTCCAAAGCAATTAGGACATTGCTTCCTTTGGGTATTATATGGTATGCACATAATAAGGGGTATTGGCTCTTGGAAGGACAAACAACTAGAAAAACAAGTGTGGACCCAAATGAAATATGAAGGTTTTGGTTGCCTTTCAAGTTTTAATGATAGGTCTAACCTTCGTTCACATAGGTGATTAAGGGTAGTGATTCCAGATATTTTCTTTGAAGGTTTATTTATGTTTGAAGGATTGTTTATCTGACTTAAACACTTTAGATTTTCTTTCAAGAAAATATTTGCTATTTAGTTCATATGTTATAAATTCACAGTCCTGGAAGAGAACTTGAAATTTTACTTAATTAATCATAGTGTTTCACAGGCTAGCATTTAACTGCTTCAGAAAATAGTTACCTGCAGTTTAAGACCTAAAAGGAAGATGATCGTGTAGATTTTGTTGCCGAATTCTGCACAGGGTAGCACTATTTCAGAAAGGTAGTTGCCTACTGTTTACTTAAAGACTAGTAAAGAAAGTAGTTGCTTACCGTTTACTTAAAGACCAGTAAAGAAGGCAATCACAGGCCGGGTGCGGTGGCTCACGCCTATAATCCCAGCACTTTGGGAGGCCGAGGCAGGTGGATCATGAGGTCAAGAGATCGAGACCATACTGGTCAATATGGTGAAACCCCGTCTCTACTAAAAATACAAAAAAAAAAAAAAAAAAATTAGCTGGGCATGGTGGTGCA